CTTGTACCCTGGAGAGCGAGGTCGCTCGCTTTCTACATAGGAGAGGTCCATTGGTTCTGGACCTCCGCCCTCCTGTCGTCTCGGTGGACGATAGGATCCCGAGTGGACGTGAGCCTGTTGTAGGCTAAAGTCCTACTGTTCCGCTGCAGAGATCGCTTGATCCATCGATTCTAGTTCCAAGCGGAACAGGTGGGTCTTGACAGGACCATCTGTCAGACCCTTGATGAACACAGTAACCTGCGTGTGTTCATCAATTGGGTTCAGTACGATACAGCTAACGAGGTATCGTACGTGTTGGGCGTAAGCGTGTATGTCACGCTTACCCTGTTTCAAATCCAGGAGCTCAGCCCGAGCCCTGAATTCGGCGCGAGGCGGTTCAAACGTGTGTTTGAGCCGCGCCTTGAAGACGTCATACGTTGGGAAAACGTATGGGTCGTGCAGTTTGAGCCCTAAGGCCCAAGCTTTGGCACGTCCTGCTAAGTTCGACATGGCGAACTTGACCTTCATCGCATCGTCATCGATGTGACGAGCCTCAATGGCATCGTCGAGTTCGACGAACCATCTCAACAAGGAGTCGCTTTCGACTGCCTTGTACTTGGAGACATCAATCTTCAAGGACTCGGGTCGGCGTATACACGTCGACCCGGCAGCAACAGCACTAGCCTGCTGTTGTCTCAACAGTTCAACCTGTTGAGAACCTTGCTCCTGTAGCAAGGTGAGTTTCTTTACGACTTCGTCAAGTTCATGTTGTATGAACTTGGCGATGGTTGCATGTTGGTCGTCTCCGCTAAGAGAGAGCAAAATGGCACCAACGGCAGGGTTGCCGATGGTTTCAGCCATACGCTGAACCGCATTCCATTCGAGGTCACTCAAATGGCGGAAATCATCACGCGTTGCGTAATGACGTTCATCACCCGCTGATTCCATAGCGGGTGGTGCGGTGGTCGCTGAACGGACCACGAAGTGCTACCAGGTGTAATGGGGCACCCCTTGACTATACTGATTACAATATAGTCTACTTTCACCGATTACAGTGAAAGCAGGTGCCTCAATTACCTCTCTTACACAAGAGGCAGAGGAAGCTTTACTTCTAAACAAACGCTTAGAAGTAGAGGAAAAGAAAACTGTATTTAATATAGTTAACTATCTTAATAAAACTAATCTGTTATAACCTGTGTTAACTATATTAAACTACAACTATGTATGTTGACGACTTGCCCTCCACTCATTGCGCGCGTCCATCGGTCATTGGTCAGTGCGTTGGTTGATATGATGGCCCATATCAACCAATGATAGGGCATCTCAAACTTCAAGGAGATCTAGGAACAATATTATTAGAAAAGGTAATATTGTCAAAAATATTATTAGTTATAATAATATTTTTATTGACACTTCATATAAGTGTCAATATTATGTAACGGGCTCACCCCGTTACAAGGCTGAAAAGCTTCTGCGTGACGTCGGTGCCTTCTTGTTAAGAAGTAAGAAGTTCGTTGCCCTCTCGCTTAAGCGAGAGACAACTGGTGGTACGACTGCTTAAGCAGTCGACCAACCACACAGCAACCCTCGCACGCGAAGGTAAGACGGCCTAACCGCTTCCTCGCTTGTGCTGAAGGTGTGAACTAAGTAGTTCGAGGCAACTTCGTAGAAGCGCCCGTCTATAATTCTAGTGACGCCATCGACTGCCGCCCTGTCGCACTCCTTTAAACTAGATACAAGGTCTATACAAAAATAATTGCGACGAGAGCCCCACGAGAACTGGGGAAACTTATTGGGAAATCGCAGCAATGGTTCCTCTATTGAACACAGATGCGCATAACCGTGATGATGATGCTGGCTCTCCTCGCAACAACATGGCCAAACCAGAGCTAGCAGCTTTGCGCAGTCGGGCCGTCCTCCTGCTCGACTATCGGAAAGCGTACGACACGGACACACTAGAATCCCTGTTCGTGGCACTCGTACGCTTCGGATTTTTCAATATTTTTTTTATGAACATGATCCGGAAGATATACGACGGTACGTCGGCCCAATTCGTGGTTAGCGGGGAGCTTCCAAATCCACAGGAGGAGATTAATGAGTTACGGCAGAGGTTTCGTTGCTCTTTCATCGTCGCGACGGAGGTACTAGCGTTGGCAATTCAACAAGAGTCGAGGTCATCGGTATGAAAGTGCCAGGAAGGGCTGGTGAGGAAAATGAGTTTTCGGCTTTCATCGACGCTCGACGGTGTTAATGCAGGATGCGCAACACGTACTCAGAGCGGTGAACATCGTGATACAATTTGGATGGTTGTCGGCTTGAGGTACAACTGACAAAAAAATCTTAACACAGCCGTCGACAGGGAGGATATCTTTTCGGGATACCGGTGTTACAGCATGGGGATGCGGTAAGGTGTTTATGTTACGCAGTGGAACAGGAGAGCTTATAACTGCGAATTGGGGTGTGCGTATTCGCAACGTATAACGGCGACTGTCGATAGCGACTCAGCTCACAACCAGCGTCAAGAATAGAGCATTGATTCTCAACATCATCATGCTGCCAGCCGCGTTGTTCACTGCGGCAATATTCGAGATGCCACCATAGACAGAGCAATATCTACGAAACTTTTAAAAGGGATGTCTAGTATCACTCTACAAGCACTGATCCAGCGCTTTTTCATACGCCCAAACACGCGGGAGGAGTCGGTCTGGCCTCCATACTAATTGCATACAAGACGTAGCGGGTAAAACACGCCATATTCTAGCTCACCTAACGCAAATACATTTACTTTATGGCCTGCCCGGGGCAGGGTTGGGCTTTCCGCGGAGCAACGCAGGACTAGACAGAAAGGGTATCTTCGCGCCAAGAAAGAGGACGTCAGCTCTCCAAGGATCGCAGGAGTCCTGAGAGCACTCTTCTGTAGTTGATCGGACTTTGTTGTTACCAACACTGCCGGATCCTGAGGGTAGTAAACAACGGAGCTCGAAAGTCTGTCATTGGAGACGATCAGCTGGACGACACCAGAGGGATGGGTGGTGTAGCTCTCTCGACCACTACGCCCACGCACCCTGACAATGAAACCAGCTCAGAAACCTTCTGAATCACTTACTGCTGGGCCGACAAATCATGGATTATGGGCCAGTAGGAGAATGTTTCAGTGCCATGGGAATATACGACAGAATTCGGCCCTGCACTGTAGCGGAACTGCAACTGCATCGGATTGGAGTTCGTAAGCACTCCTTCTTCATTCCAACTGTTGGCGCAACCACGAATCAACAAGCCAAGCTGCGACGATGGGGACTAGTTCCCCGCAACCGACTACACGTAAGAATACACCACAACGGTCTGCGTCATCGAACTGGAGCAGGACAGCGATGAAATTGATTGGAAGCGGACAACGTCGAGGATCAGCAGACGGTTGCCGACTGTCAGAGGCTCCGAAAGGGCCAAAATGTAGGGGGTATCGTATTCTATGCGAATGCGCTCATCAACGGGTTCCCATGGATCGTGCCCGACCCTATCGCGAGCAAACACGTATTATTGGCCCTGAACGAAACAAGCGGTCCTGAAGAAAACAACCGTGTCGTCGGACCAGCATGAGGCAACTTCGAACCGTAACGAAGCGAGAGTACCGGCGAACCAACACAAATATGCAAGGAAGCCATCTGATCTATGTTAACTTGCCATAGTTAGACAATCCAAAAGCCGTCTCCGCAGGTGACAAGCCTCGTACAACCACCGGAGTTGAACGAGGAATCGACGTCTCTAACCAGGCTTAGGATTTACCAGACATCCTGCAACCACTAAAAGATAAATAGACCTCTCTTTCGTTCCCACAGCAAACGGCATTGTATGTCGCTGTTTGATTTGACTGAGGAAGATGATTGTGGTCATTGGACGCATATATTCGTACGACTGACCATAATGGATCCCAATACCGTCTCAATCAAGGAATGTAATCATCCATAATACCGCAGAGAGAAGAGGTGACTGCGAGAAAGATAATTGATGATGCAGCGCCATCCTCATTACGTCACTTGTCCTAGCCCGGTGTTAGAAACATTATGTGAAAAGACGCCAACCACCACATTCAGCTGACGACGCGAATAGCGGCAAGTAGTTGTCGATGGCCATGCGTAGCATGATAAGAGTATGCGAATTGTTTCAAATCAAAACGGGTCAACCTCACATATCCCTGACAAGCAGTTCCGGTTCTTAATCGGAATGGACGGAATCACGTTCTACGAGAGTTCGCTCCATGTGATCGAAAATTGACCGGCAGGCGGAACGGAGAAGAGAAGGAACTTGTTTGTTCAAGTGGAGGGTATTTGATGCTTTGTCGACGTGCCCCACACCTCGACACTTCGTGCCTATTACTCCCCATCAGTTCGCACGCTGCGCTGTCTCCCATGGCTCACGCAGAAGACTCCCTCAGCGGCCAAGCGGCCTCCAAAAAGCTAACATACCGGTCCTCTTACTTCCCGCCCAAGATAAGAGGACCGATATGCCGGCACTTTGGAGGCCTTTGTCGCTTGGTTGTTATTGCTCTTCAGCCCAACTTTTTTGCATGCACTTCCCAATAAATTTTTATATTGCGAAGTCATTCGACTGACATGAGCGACTCGTTGACGTCGTTCGTGCTCGAAATATCATTTGCGATACCATGACGATGGAGAAAGTCTATCATACGAGGATGATGAATCAATCTTACGAACACTTTAGAGCGCAACTTTTTTTTCAAAAAGAATGACACGCCTTCCAGAAAGCTGCTCCGTGTCTCTCGGTTTACATGTATAAACATTCATATATAATGAGAATGCTACTTCTAACAATGATCCCAAACCGATAACGGTACATTTAATGAAAGTTTCAGCTCGAGTCAAGATGTTTTGTATATTGGTATGAAGGAGAAGTATTGTTTGTGCTGTACTCATTCACAGTCTCTTAACTAATGGATGTACAAGCCTGCAAAAGTTGCTGTACAAAACTGATGAGAAACTAGGCCTGTTTTACGATGAAGGTTCTTAGGCTTTCCCACTGTGTCCTCTGGCTGTAAATGGATCCTCGTGATATGGAGTGGTTACTGCTACAAAGCTTGGACTCTTCGCATTAGCCGAAGGAACCACCTTTTCGTTATGAGGAGAAATAACTACAACCGAGAGAGTTCCATCAGGTTTAGCTTCGTCAGCTAAATCACTAGATTGGGGTCTGTAGACAAACGTGAGGATCAACTGGATACAACCTAGTATAAATCCCGCGATGTTTGGGCCCAAAATGAACTTGTTGTCGACCAGAGCAGCGTACGTCGCCCAATTAAAGCTGTTAAAGACATTCGCGACTCCCATTGTAAACGGCATGGATGACGCAGTCTTCGTTTGAAGTACCGTCGCGATGGTTGCCATTGGCGATACATACAATCCGACACTCGTTCCAATGGTCATGAAACCTAACGTCGTACTGATTGATTCTCGAGATTGGCCCGTGTGTCCGGCCAATGCGAGAATACTGTAAACTGTCACGATAAGACACACAGCGAAAGATCCAGCAAATGCTTTTACAACAGCGAGCTTGTCCTCAGCCAAGCGATAAAAGAAGTAGTTGAAGAATACTCCCGCGACGATTCCCACAATCGCTTGCGCTAAAAGCGGCATCATGTTGTTGACAGCAATAGCGTAGAAAAAGCCAACGTAGCAATTTGTGAAAAGCAATAAACACGGCATGACTGACATCTCACCCGTACTGTGGCACTTGTGCATCCGCCGGAAGTCTGGAATCAACGAAAGTCGTAGCATAAGCGTCGTAGAAAGCGTTAGCCACTCGAACACGATGACAGTAATCTCGTAGGTGCTCATTGTATAGAGTGCGTGTCTTGATCTTGAAGATAGCGTTTGTTGGGGTCTCGAATACAATTTGAATATGACTCGATCGTTCCAGTCTTCAGCTAAAACATTTCAATCCGAGATACACGATCAACGATGTTCTTGAAACTTCTGCACTTCGTCTTTGTAAACAACAGCTCAGTTCTAGACAGAAGAGGGCGAAAAAATCGCAATGGTACTGTGCAGACCGTTTCGTGCTTCATTCGTTGACGTTACCTGTCTGAGGTTGCTACGTCCACAGGTTTTATAAATCTCAACGGTCGAGATCATGTCGCTAGACACGTTAATGAGGACAAACAAAAAAAGAAGCAAAACTTGCAGAACAAAGTTACTTCGACTAGTATTTAGTATAAAGGAAGGCAGAAAATCGCAATGGTACGGCGCTGACCGTTTCGTGCTTCGTTCGTTGACCGGTCTGAGGTTGCTACGTCCACAGGTTTTAATAAATTTCAACGGGCGAGATCATGTCGCTAGACACGTTAATGAGGACAAACACAAAAAGAAGCAAAACTTGCAGAACAAAGTTACTTAGACTAGTATTTCGTATTAACAAGCTACGGCATACAGCCAGCAGAAAACAGCATACTGCTGTCTATCACTACTATACATTATCTTGTCTAGGAGAAAGTACTGCGACATATTCCCGGCTATCTACTGAGCTGAGGTGTCTGTCACATTCGCCGTCTTGAAGTGGCGACAGAAGCACGACAGAACGAGCTTGTGCATTCCGACATGTGACGACTGGAATATCCTTTGGCGTATCGTTGGGAAATATAAAGGTGAGACTCAGCTGAACTAGACCAAGTGTAAATCCAGCAATATTGGGAGCCATGATGAATGCGTTGCCCAACAACCCACCATAGAATCCCCAGCAAAAACTGTTAAACAATAGGACAAGCCCCATTGTGAACGGCATCGACGAAGCCGTCTTAGTACGTATGACATTTACGATAGTGGCCATTGGCGACGCGTACAGAACGATAGTTGTCGCAACAGTGATAAAGCCTAGAGTTGTCTTGACTGCATCTCGCGATTGACCCGTTCTACCAGCTATGGCTAGGGTCCCGTAGATCGTTACTGCTACACAGACCACAAAGGATGCAATAAAGATTTTCATGGTTGCACGCTTGTAGTCCGTCCACCGATAGAAATAGTAGGCGAGGGTTCCTCCGACGAGAACACCTAGCACTGACGTTGCAAATAACGGGACCATTTCGTCGATGGCGTATGCGTAGAACAGCAACGCATAGCAATTAGTGTGGAGTAAGACACACGGCATCACGGACATATCTCCCGTGTTCCGCTTTTTTCGCCACCGATTGAAGTCTGGTAGGAGCGAAATTCGCAGCATGATGGTAGTAATAGTAGTTAGCACTCTGGCGACCATGAGAGCGGTGTCGTGTCCGCTCATTGTTTAACGTACGATCTTTTCAACTACGACCTTTACGATCAATTGAAAAGTGGGTGACCATGAGTCAATGGCTTTCGTTCGCACATCGTGATACGTGTGGAACATCCATGATGATCTGCTGGTCATCCAATCAACGCTACTGACTTTGAAGAAAACATTCCGCAGCTCGCCGTACCACAAGAAGATAAGAGCAAAGCATTGTAAGCCAACAGATTGAGACTATAAGTCGTCCGGTCGATTTAAGAACGGTGCACTCAAGTGTCACGACTGTTCTAGAAGCTTACAGCACTCGTTAAGAGATACTTTTCGGCAAGCGCTTTTGCCTGCAGAGTACGACTTGAGACCGTTGAAGGTCATGACGGACAAGTTGGCGAACTCGTTTGAGCGCTATTTGGAACAGAGACGTATAGGTTGTCGCAGTGAGATTTTAACGCTAGCATCGAGTTATCTACACTGCTAGTTGAACCGATCCCAGCATGGATCGGTTTGTAGCGCGATTAGCGATCAATGTGTTTAAGTGGCGACTTGCTCTGACGTTGTCTTAACTTAAAAAACGTGAAAACGGAAGGTTCACATACGAATGTGCATGAAAAAATTAGGAACGCGCAAAGTAAAAGATGAAGCATAGTCTATTCATGGGTGGATAACGTCTGATGGCGACTTATCAGTGACAATCACTGCGTTACAGGCGATTGAACCGCGACAAAGCATTCGTTATGCCCAATGCTACTCTTCCTTCCTAGATGACCTCCTTGCAGTGTGTCAGTGTCCAAAACACTCGACAGTGCGATCTTAAGCTCGTGCTCAGTTGTGGCACCGGAGTGGTCGACTATCACAACCTCAAGCTGTGACTCCACCACCTTTGAGGTAGGATAGATGACATACAAAGCCAACTGGATCATCGTAAGCACACAGCCGAAAATGTTCGGGAGTAGGATCCACACGTCCATGATAATGATCGCATAGACCGCCCAGCATACGCTGCTGAAAAAGTTCGCGAGACAGAGCGTAAATGGCATTGAGGCCGTCGATTTACTGCGCACAACTCGCTTGATTGTAGCAAGCGGGGAACTATATAGACCAATGGACGTAGCAACGGAAAATGCACCCATAGCTGTAGCCATAGAAGACTTTGACTGTCCCGTAATGCCTGCAAGGCCAATGGCACCGTACAGACACACAAGTACGATAACAACTAAAGCGACAGCGCCAATTTTGTGAACGGATCGTTTGTCGTCAGCGTAGCGGTAAAAGACTGCGATGAATCCTCCGCAAGTGACGAGTCCTAGCATGGCAGTTACGAAGAGCGGAAAAATGTTCTCGGACAAGTAGCCAAACCATCCGAGCACGACGCAATTGGCAAAAAGCATCACCACAGGAAGGATTTGTACTTCGCCAGTGTTTTTGGTCTTGTAAATGCGCTGGAAATCCGGCCAAGGCGAAAGGCGCACCATGATGGATGAGCTGACTGTCAGTATTTGAAACGTTGCTTCGAGGTACCCCATGATTGACGAGGTGAAGGTGGTGTGAAGCTCAAGAACTGTGCTGAAGGAGGCAATTGAGGAAGTGATAGACAATCAATTCCCCATCAGACAACACGCGCGCAATCGTCCGAGTTGAGCTGTCGCGTCAAGTGTCGCTTCCTATGCCGTTTTATTATTCACTTGGCGTGGCCGACTGTTTCAGATCATTCCTAGCGCCGCTTGTAAGGTGCAATCGAAAAACTTTGTATCTGAATGGACAGCACCATCGCAAAGGAGTTTTACATTCTTTTGACTCAGCCAGTATCACACCGTCAGACCGTGTCCAATCTACTTTACAAAACCAAATTGAAACTCTTAACCACCAACTTGCTAGCCTGATAAAACGCATCTTACTGTTACTTGGCCGCAGTGGCTCAAAGTCTGACCAAATGATCCATTACGAGTAACTCAATATCTACCTAAACTACTTTTGAGTGTGTATACAACGAGGTGACAAGCTGTTTGTAGTATGATTTACAAGCTTTTTGATTGCTCGTGCATGAATCGAGTTACGTTGCAGTTTATTTTGACATGATTGCAAGGAAGAAGATCGGTTATAGCACTCAAGTCGTTGAAATGAACATCAGTGACACCTCAAAGTCCGTCAAGATCTCGCTATTCTCTGTTTTTCTTATTCTCATACTGACCTTAAAACGAAATGCGCTGAATTGCCTACCGAGATCACGGACAATGCGTGTTTCTAATTAATCCGTACACATTAATGAAGACGTTGAATATGGCCAAGTAGTCAAGGACATATCATCTTAAGCAATGTCTTAACGTTGTCCGATACAGATGAGTCCCATATTTCTATCAATTACTGTACCAACCCATATCAGATAAGTTTCTCAACCAATTAACCCCATCCACAACTGAAACATCCGGTGAGATTATGCCACTGTACTCACGTACCGTCCCGATTATGTATTGCTAAAGCATCCCCTTCAAATTGAACCTGTGGAATTACATATACATCAATATTGTATCATCTTCTACCTGCAAAACCAAGCAGAATTAAACTCTAGAACACGATCATCCTGTCAAACATAATTAAATATAAGTTTCAACAACCTACCGTTGACTTCTTCGGTGTATCCCATCCATCATCAGTCGACAATTCACAGTGTAACCCCTTGCGTAACCTTTTATTTTCCACTCAATGACGTCGTCATCATTATGGACATCCAACAAACACGAGCGCGTCATACCAATGCATAAAAAAGAGCCGATTCTATATTGTAATCATTGTATCCCTCCTCTTACATGCGTCTTGGTTGTTCTCCGTACTTCTTGTCCATCTGTAGCAACTCTTCCTCACATCCAGACCAGTATTTCTTCCTATTTGGATTATTCTTTCCACTTTTCTATCCCCCACGCCTGTTCTCGTGTCTTAAGTAACGCAAAATTTCATTTATTGAATCGATTACGAATCATTGAATTGACCAATCAACGACAAGATCCAGCCGACGAGCTCTTGTATCGACAATGGAATTTTGCTCGAGGAACGGCTAAAGCTGCTGAACTAGGGGATTTACATGTCATTCAATGGCTTTGTAATGTTTATTATCCTCATGGACGAGTTACAGATGCTGTTGAAAAAGCAGCACAAGCTGGATATTTACAGATTTTGCAATGGCTCCATGAACATCATCCCAAGGTTTTTTGGGGTGCAAGGGAGATGCGGGTCGCTGCACAATATAATCATGAAGCTGTTGTCAAGTGGTTACATGCACATACAAGCTCGACGTTTGTTGGAATGCATGCAATTGAATCAGCAGCTGGCAATGGCAATTTACAGCTTGTTAAATGGTTACATAATGTACGAAGACAGTGGTCTGGTAATGGAGCAGGTGAAGCAGCAGCTCATGGACATTTGGATGTGTTCAAGTACATGATTAAGGGACATACTGTACTTCGAGAAAGTGCGTTGAATGAAGCAGCAGGAAGAGGACATTTAGACGCAGTGAAGAAGCTTGCAAGACGTCAACCAACCTTGGTAACAACAAGGACAACTACTGCAGCAGCGGAGCATGGACAGATGCATGTGGTTAAGTGGCTCCATGGCAAGAAGTTTGAGGGCAAGTTTGCACTCTGGACGACGATAGCGATGGACAAAGCAGCCGCTAATGGACACTTGGAGATGGTCAAATGGCTACATCAAAACAGGTTGTTGGAATCGTGGAAGGCCTGTACTCGAGAAGCTATGGATGGTGCGGCGCGTAATGGTCACTTGGAGGTGTTGCAGTGGCTACACAAAAATCGTCATGAAGGCTGTACAACCAAGGCGATGGACAACGCTGCTGCAAACGGTCATCTGAACATCGTTGAGTGGTTGCATACGAACAGGTTTGAAGGCTGCACGCAAGATGCAATGAATGCAGCAGCTGCTAACAATCAGCTACCTACTCTGTATTGGCTGCATCAAAATCGACGAGAAGGCTGCAACACGGCTGCGATGGATGAAGCTGCTGGAGCTGGTCACTTGCAGGTGGTAAGGTGGCTTCATGCGGAGCGGAAGGAAGGATGCACTTCCAACGCCATGGACAATGCGGCTGCCAATGGCCACCTGGATGTGGTGAAGTGGCTTCATATTCATCGTCAAGAAGGCTGCACAGTGCGGGCAATGGATTGTGCCGCTGCAGGAGGTCACTTGGAAACGGTCAAATGGCTTCAATCGAACCGATTTGAAGGCTGCACGTCGGCAGCTATGGACAAGGCTGCAGCTGGAGGGTGGTTGGAAACTGTGCGTTGGCTACATCTGCATCGTATTGAAGGATGCTCGACTAATGCGATGGATGAGGCAGCTGGTGGAGGTCATTTGGACGTATTAATGTTTCTATTCTCGAATTACAATGAGGGCTGCACGTGGCTAGCAGCGGAAAACGCGACACGCTCGGGTCACCTGGAAATTTTGCAGTGGATCTACATTCATTATCCTGACCAGTTTGATTGCAATCGCGTCATTGCCATCGCCGATAGAGACGATTTCTATTTAATGGAGTGGCTACAGAGTCTTGAATATTGTAGGGGGCGTCATGAATTGTGACGCTTTCGACCTTGGGCCAAGTGGATTGAAGCCGAAGCAACGCGCAGTGATGTCGGTGCTACGAGATACTATGAATTAATGCTGAAGATCGTTGATGAAACGTTGCTTTGGGTGTGGTGAGGACTAATACAATTTAGGACTAGAAACAATGGCTAAACGGTTAAAAAGCTTATGAATAAAGTGACACGCATGCATTGGTCCAAGTTTTATCCTCGCTTGTGATCCAGCTACACCTGTTAGTACCTCGAGCTTGGCCGAGACGTACTCGTAGTTGCTAATCATCATGCCTAGCAGTCAGGTGGGTACCCAAAAAGATCAATGCAGACATCGATGCGTTGCTTTGTTCCTCTCGCTTTACCACTTGGCACGCAGTTCGTTGGGAAACGCAGTCACAAAGTCCAGCCACTTTTCGACATTTGGGTACTTGGTCAAGATATCCTTACCCACAACCTTGACGCGCTCAAACACAGCCGTGTCGTCCTTCGAGGGGGACGAGCCATTCACAAAAGTAGATCCAGCCAGACGCTTTTCCAGCACATCCAGAGCTACAGAACCCGTGGTAGAAAGCAGCGAGGACGAGCCACTGGCTGAAGGCATCGGACCAACCTGTTCGTCCGGCTTCATGGCAGGGAAGAGCAATACCTCCTTAATGTTGAAGCGGTTGGACAAAAACATGGTTAGACGGTCGACACCGCAGCCCCATCCAGCAGTAGGTGGCAGACCATATTCCATGGCTGTACAAAAGGACTCGTCGTGTGGCTGGGCCTCATCGTCACCAGCGGCAGCCTGCTCCATCTGCTCGATAAAGCGCTCACGCTGCACCTTGGGGTTGTTCAGCTCCGTGTAAGCGTTGCAAATCTCCGCTCCAGCTAAGAACAGTTCGAAACGCTCCGTGAGTGCTGGCTTTGTGCGGTGATACTTGGCCAGTGGCGAGTTATACACTGGCTGGTCCATGATGAAGAACGGCTTGGCCCAGTAAGCCTTGTTGTCCTCAATAAAGTGGCCCACCAGCTTGTCCAGCAAACGAGCAATTGAGCGAGGCGGAGCGCACTCGAGCTCATACTTGGTCACTTGTTCCTCTAAAACAGCCACACACTTCTCGGGATCATCAATCGGGATCGTGACACCTGTCGCTTCTTCCACAGCAGACACCATGCTCACTCTGGTAAAGGGGGAGTGAAGTCGATCGTCACAGGCTCTTCATCAGGTTCTTTCTGAATCGTAATGCTGTAACTTCCAGTGATCTCCTTCACCATCTCGGAGAACAATTTCTCCGTCATCGTCATGAGATCATTGTAGTCCGCATAGGCCATGTAAAACTCACAGCTGGTAAATTCTGGATTGTGAGTCAAGTCAATACCTTCGTTACGGAACTGACGTCCAATCTCGTACACTCGGTCCAGTCCACCAATCACCAATTGCTTCAAATACAGCTCTGGAGCCACACGCATGAACAAGTTCATGTGTAGATCATTGTGGTACGTAACAAAAGGTTTTGCAGTAGCCCCTCCAACAATCATGTTCATCATTGGAGTCTCAACTTCCAGAAAATTCTTATCGTCTAAAAATCGACGAATGACGTTAATGATCTTGGCTCGAGTGTAAAAGACGCTACGAGTATCATCATTCATAATAAGATCCAAGTACCTTTGACGATACCGTGTATCCTGTTGTAAAGTAAGTCCAGCATGACTTTTTGGCAGCATGTGCATACAAGGAGACAAGAGTACCAATTGTTGTGGGAAAATGGATAATTCCCCCTTTTTTGATTTACCAGGATACCCTTGGACCCCCACAATATCTCCACGACGTAAAATACTATGAATTTTGAGAAAAGCTTGGTCATTTTCATAGGATCCAATGTCCGACATGATTTGAAGCTTTTTTCCATCGGCACGAAGATCATAAAAGACCAATTTTGATCCAGAAGAACGTTTACTATGAAGTCGACCAGCAACGGAGACAATCTCAGTTAAATGGCTACCAGCTTCAAGATTGCCATATGCTTCATGAAATTCAGGTAATGAAATGGATACATGAAACTTGTGAGGGTAAGGGTTGATTCCTTGGGTTTCAAGTTCACTTAGCATCTTTTCCCGATTGAAAAAATAGGCAGTCGGGTCTAATTCTTCTTCATCTGCAAGAGTTGCTGTTTTTTTAGGTGTATGTAAAGCTTCAGCCGCTTTTTTAGCAGCTTTTTCAGCTTTGGCTTTTGCTGCTTTTTCGGCTTTTAGACGACGTTTGAGTTCATTTTTACTAAGTGGTACAGCAGAATCCACTTCTGAGGTTTCAATAATAGGGGGACTCTCGGTTTTATTACTCATGATTATGAACCACTTGATGGATACGAGGAAATTTGGATAATGATTGGCTCCAGGCGAAAATCGGAAAGTTTTAGAAATTACAAAAGTGGATAAAGCCATAAATATAAACCTTGCTAATTGTATTTACTCTTGAAATGAATATTTAGTGGTGACATTGAGTTTATAAGGCACTGAACAGGTATATCTCTACTAGGTTATACCCTTTGCTTGGTTATAGCTATTGTGTTACCGACTTCTTTCTCTTGACTTAATTACTATGGAAACTATACACCAGTAATTATATCCTTTGGTAAAATATCATAATGTTAGTCCTTTCATATCTTAAAAGGAGACCTGGTAAAGCAAAACTTTAATTTTATTTACATGTAAAGTTAATACCACTCTAAATGATAATAACTTGTGTTGCAAAAGCTATTGTCAAGCAAGCGAGATCTTTAAAAGTTGTTGACCGACTATCCAGAGTGATTGTTTATTCACAAGTGTTATGGCCAGCTTCTACTTTTTTGCTTCGTAGTGGAGTCGCATCTTGCCTTTAAACTACAAAATAATAGTGTAATACAAGGTGCTTTTTTGTCTTAAGGAAGAAGAGGACAGGTACTACGCCTAATGTGTTGTTACTGCATGAGTTTTAATTTAAAGTGTTCAGTCTATAAACTACTTTGTAAGAAACTGCTTTGTAACCTTAAGAAATGAAATACAAGAGCTATTCGATGATATTTGCCTCTAGCTCTCGCACAACTCACTACTGGCGCTGTCCACCACTCTCTCAATGATCTTACAAATAGCCTCGATGCTCCTTGTACTTCCTTCCACACGAGACAACATCTCGATAGCTGATGCCCATTCCTTCACAACTTGCGCTTTCTCCATCGACGTAGCCAAAGCCCCCTCCTTTTTTTCACAAACATCTCCTTTATCTTTCAGTGTCTTGATCTTCTTGTTCTTCGTAGGTGTCTTCATCAGGTCGCTTTCTTCAAATCTCACTCTCTTCGTCTGCACCACCTTCTTAACCTCTTCTTCTTTTGGAGTCTCCTCCAAAAATGACACTGTTGGCGTCATCACCAAACTGTCCTGCCAATAGGCGACTAAAAGATGTAAAAATCCTTTTTTGGTAAAGTTTTTCTTGGGCTGCAGACCGATCAGGACACAGGCTGAACGCAATGTCCTTGAGCGACAGGCATCGAGTTGGTTCTGGAGCTCCTTGATGCAACCATGAGGTGGAAAATGCTGCACAAATTGCGCTACATCATACGGCAGTTCAATCCCTGTTTTTACCGAAGTTTCAGAAGCTTTTAGCGGTGTTTTAACGCCTTTTGATTCGAAATTGTGCGAAGTTTTCCAGTACGAAACGAGGACGGAAATAAAGCCGCTTTTTTTCTTCTGTTTGTTGCGCATGGATAACTTAAGACGACTGCAAGCAGCACGTAAATCGTCGAGTGTAAAAGATCTTAGTTGGCTCTTTAGCTCGATAGCGCCTGCTTCAGGTGGAAATTCCTCCACGTACTCGATGACTCGGTGTACTGTATCCATTATGTTGTAGTTAATCGAAAGGGAAAAGATAAAATTTAGAATGATTATTTGGGTTGTTCGGATTTTTACTATTTATACATTTGAAAAATCTTGATTTAAAAAAATCGACCCTTTCAACGTTATAACAACAATCAAAAAACTTTGGGACCTGCTGTACATATCATGTCAATTTGTTCAGGTCATGCTTGTAATGCTTCGTAGGTATTGGCACTAGTAAGTAATTGCATCTCAAATGGCACCTGTCCATGCTCTGTTATGGTATGTGCGTGCGAAAGTGACACATTTCCACTGTTTGCCAGCTGCAGTGTCGCCAAAAAGAGGCGGCACACCTCAAATTGGCTCTTGCCATCCACCAAAGTCTCAAAAGGCACTGTCTCCTTCTTCTCGTCGTCTTCTGACCCCAAGTCAATCCTGGCGCGTTTGTTCTTATCACGCTTGGCGGATTTACTGAGCTTGTCCAAACTGGAGCTCTTGTGTTCTTCCTCCAAGCGCTCAATAATTTCGCGACCGTAGTGATGAATATCGAAAGGGGGGTGAGCATCTTGTTGCTTCAGCAATGGCGTGAGTCTCTCCTGCCAGTCGCTAACTTGCTTGCTTAGGTCTGTCTCTCGGACGTATTTCTCCGTGCCGGACATGAACGACGCCAAGTGCTGTCTGCAGATCTCATCGTACGTAAGCGGCCGATCAGAAGTACCAGCAACTGTTGCGGCAGCATCGCCAAAACCGAGCGGCCCGTCCGTGTCATTTCCTTGGTCCCAGTCACCACCATCGTCATAGTCGTTGTCATTTTCCTCGTCCTCGTCGTTATTGCCATTTGCATCATTCTGAAAAGCCATGTCTAATCGTGCTGTAGCCGTTGATAGCGTCAATGCCTGCAAGCGATCGTTTCCATCTGCCTCCTCCTCCTCCATGGCCTCCTCACGCAATAGCATAGCTTCAGCACTCTGTTTCTCGCGGGCTTCGCAACGACGCATGATACTACGCCATTTAGCTTCACGCTGCCAGAGCGTGTGGCATGTCTTAAGCAGAAGTGGAGCTCGGCAGAACGTGCGCTTGCACGTCTTCTCCAGCGGATTCTCTGCTGCTGTCTCTGACCAGATCCATGATGCCCACTGCGGTCCTTTCGATCCCGTAAAGAAGCGGTCTCGGAATGCCGGGTCTGATAGACCGTCCTGCTCTGCATCATCATTCATGCCCACGACACCTTCCTTATTATTTAAAGCTGTGAGATCTGCTTTCTTTTTCTTGTACGCCGGTACACGCGGGTACGACCGTCCCTTCTTGAATGGGCGTGCCACCGATGTACTCGCATCATACGCGTCCAGCGGTGCCCACGGGTCCTTTTCACCCGCTGGAAGTGTGGTCATCAACCGCGTGACAGTGCGAGACGGCTCTTCAGCAACTGCTCTCTCTTGTGCATTATCTGCAGCATCATCCATCGGAGCGTCATGTAGTGGTGCACCAGCATCGTAGTCATAATCCGGCTCTTCATCCAAAGCATTGTTATCACCTCTATCCTCATCATCCCTCGCATCCATATCGTCAAAATTCAATGCAGTCGCTGGATTGTCTCCATCTGCAGCGACCCACATGCCTCCATGTCTTCCTGGCGTCTCACCAAATGCATTATCCGCTGCTCTCTGTTGTGGATTGAGATACTTCTTACTCGCTTCATCCAGCAGCAACACACCACTTGCATGTAAATTGCACGATAACAACTTGAATGTTTCTCCATGATCCCGTTCATCCGGCACGAGGGACCCCATTAACGCAATAGATGCCTGAATATTGTTCTTGCTTCTATGAAGTGCTCTGGCTTCTTTTTTTTCCTCTTCTTATCATTCTCTGTCTCTTCATTCTCTTCATCTGCTCGCTTAAGAGTTATATGTGACGTCTTGGCCTCCTTTAATTCATTGTATAGCGGTAGTGGATTATCAAAGACACTGTCTCCTGCACCGTCATCTTCTTTATTTTCCTGTATCTCTCCTGTCTCTTGGTTTCGCTGACTTTGATAATGATCGTCCTGTTGCTTGGATAAATGCGCTAGTGTTTGATACACTAACGCATGTAAATACTCGACTTTTCGACTATAAATGACACTTGTTCCTTGGATCAATAGTGCCGCTTCGGCAAAATTCATGACCCCAACTTGATCCCCCTCTTTAGTAATATTTGCCCCATCTTTTGGATCAAACGCAATATTTAAATTCTCTAATTTGTCCATATATTCTTCTAATTCTGTAGCCAAGTCAATATTCCAATTTTTACTCAAGTCCCTGCGTAATAAAACAAGATAAAATTTATATGAGAAGAAAGAAGAAAAGATAATGAAGACGATGAAAGGTAGAGAAAGGTACCGAATGGGCTGTAGCAAGTGCTGGAGACGTCCCTCGTTCATATTCGCTGGACGTGAATTGGTGTAAAGTTTTAAAACGGGCGATGTTGCGCAATGTTGCAGCAAGATGGTAATTTATCCGTACCTTCCTTTTAGAAATGGTTTTTTATAATACTCTTCCATCCCCTAGATATTGAATCTATTACTTCAACTGATTAGAAACTGCTCATCTCCCTTTCGTTTCGATTGCTCGCTTCTTTTCTGCTTGGTGTGCAAGAGCCGTTGACATTCATTCACCACCACTTTTACACACATTCTTTTATTTGCGTCCTGCCTCAGACCAATAGCTCAATGGTTTGTCCATCACTGTCTTCTTCGTTTCCTCTTTTAACTTCTGTTGCTTTTATCTGCCGTCAATATCCTCATATTGAAGCACTTGACCATGTGACGCGTGAACTTGACGCGCTACTGGATTATTCCCAGCTCTGGACTTTAGATTCAGCATGTCATGCTGGACTTGAGCATCTCGTGGAGCGTATCCTCGCTCGTGATGCGAATAAGATCCAGCACATGGACAAATTACTGTGTCAGGCACTGGCCACGTCGGCTATGGCATCGGCTGCAGCCAGTGGTCACATCTCTGTGCTACGTCGATTGGCGACGACTTTTCCCCGTGCACGAGTAACTAAAGCAGTAGAAATTGCGGCTAAGAATGGCCATGTGAGCGTATTGCAATGGTTATATGATCAGCATCAGATTCAGAGACTGGATGTGTTCTGGGGTGCACGGGAACTACTGCTGGCTGTCCGAAATGGGCACTTGGAGGTGGCACAGTGGCTTATACAACATACGACACCACCGGAACATCAATTTCTAATTGATGAAGCTGCACGTAATGGCGACTTGGTCATGATCCAGTGGCTGTACAGTATCAGCACGTCAGATGAGTGGACAGTCAATGCAGTGGTCAATGCAGCCGAGCACGGACATCTTGAGACGGTGCAGTGGCTCACTGAGCATTGCTTTGATCATCAATGCCCATCAATTCGGATGGACCAGGCAGCTGCAAATGGATTCTTGGAAATGGTTCAGTGGCTACACGCAAACGATGCACGCTGCACGACCAATGCTATAAACTTGGCAGCTGCAAATGGACATTTAGAGACGGTGAAATGGCTGCATGTGAATCGATTGGAAGGTTGCGAACGTGCTGCAATAGACCAGGCTGCAGTCAATGGCCACTTGGAAGTGGTGAAATGGCTTCATGCACATCGATCGGAAGGTTGTACTACTATTGCAATGAATGGTGCTGCAAGAAGGGGCTTTTTTGACGTGGTCAAGTGGCTGCATGCGAACCGCAGTGAAGGCTGTACTAACAAAGCAATGGACAACTCGGCTATGAATGGACACCTTGAGATTGTGCAGTGGCTGCACCAGCACAGATCGGAAGGTTGTACTACCGCTGCAATGAACCAGGCTGCTGCAAATGGACATCTAGAGACGGTCAAGTGGCTGCATGAGCACCGAACGGAAGGATGTGGGACTGCCGCAATGGACGACGCTGCACTGAACGGTCATTTGCATATGGTCAAATGGCTACACGCTAATCGAGAAGAAGGCTGCAGTACCGCGGCAATGGACAACGCGGCCGCTTTTGGTCACATGGATGTCGTGCAGTGGTTAAACGAAAATCGCCAGGAAGGGTGTACCACGAATGCTATGGACCGTGCTGCACGTCAAGGCAAGTTTGACATGGTCAAGTGGCTCTACGTGCATCGGAACGAAGGCTGCAGCTTGCTCGGAATGAACAATGCTGCTGGTGCAGGGAGACTCGATATCCTGCAATGGTTGCATACGACGTATGGTCTCGGGTGCAACAACCAAGCAATGGAGGCAGCCGCGTTCGGTGGTCACATTGACATTCTCGACTTTCTCGAACGCGAAGGACTCGCGTCGTGTACAGCAGACGTGTCAATCAAAGCTGTGGCTGGAGGACACTTGGAAATCCTGCAATGGCTCTTCCAACACTACCCGGAACCTATTCCGTCTGCACGCTTGCTACGCATTGCCAAGCGTCACGACCTCTATTGCGTTGACTGGCTTGTACGAACAGGCAAAGCTGTTGATTATGAGATGGGGTGAAGAAAGAGGAGGTGTCTGGATGTCCATACTTATTTAATGAATGAGGAACAGATATGTCTGCTCTATTAGAAAAACAAGATCAAAGTCTTCTAGGTGTATTAACAATACTACCATTTATTGGCTTTCTTCCCTTTCTAAGAATCAGACAGACTCAGCCATGAAAAATGCTCATAGAAGACGATGATATTGTGATTTATAATCAACTTTTAATATACTTCGCACAAGCAATACTCTTGACATTTATTCTTTAACATTATCGACATTGTATGCTGTTGATTGGAGACAAACCTTCACATGAAACCACGATTAGTTTCATGAAATTTGTGACCGCAAATTATATATTTTTATAAATGTTTGGTCTTCCTATAACTAGACACTTGTGTGTGGTGTCAATGACCCCGATTGCCGTTGTAAAAGGACTGAACAAACTAACTTTTGATATATATTGATAAAAAGACACGTGCTTGTAGCCATATATCTTAAATTTAAACACCATTTTTTCGAAGGATAATAATACTGATGGCGTTACGTTAATGAGGCGCAAATCCCATCAAATTGACGTCACAGCAAATTCCATGCTTTTTTTCGATAGCTTGCGACATGTTCGATGTTGTCAGTTACAGAGGGTTACCATTATCTGACCTCTCTTTTCCACCAATCAGTACTTGGTACAATTGGCTTCAAGCACATACGACTGTTCTCCCTACATACGTCAGTTGCAGATTCTCCCTGCTAACATGAGCTCCAAATGTACGCTCGTAGCTGATCGTACAGATGACGCTGTGCAAATGTTATTGGGTTTTATTGCTCTATCATCACTATACGCTAAATGGCACTTTGAGCGACCACGGAGATCCGCTAAAATCTGGTTCATGGACGCTATGAAACAAGGCACATCGGCTGCGATGATCCACGTCATGAATATATTGTATGCAATTGGTCTGGTGGAAATATCTGATACGCCCAATGATCAGGATCAGGTAGCTAGTGACATTTAATATATTATTAATTGCTGAAGGGAATGAAAAAAAGGAGGTACTGGACTGACTATGTGACTATGTAGTGTGCCTTTTACTTCATGAATGTAGTAATTGATACGACATTAGGCGTATACATTGCTTATTTATTACTCCAATTGGTGACATTAATTGCAGTAAGTAGTAGTACTACATCTACTTTACAGCAACTTCTTGCGACTGTTAATTCATTCTAATTTGCTAATGTAGATTCGACAACAATGGACGAGTCTTCGGTGTCATGGATATTACGGCTCTCCACCGTCGTGGAAAGTCTGGTGGCTACAGTTGCTGGAATGGTGTGCCGTCCTGACCTTTATGAAGTTCTTTGTGGGTCTGGTGTTATACGCCTTCTCGACACCATTGGGTTGGATGGGGTCGCTACTGTTTTACCCCGTGCACAACTATCCGAAGATTGAGCTTCTGATCGTCATGATTGGCTGTCCATTGGTCATGAACATGGTGCAGTTCTGGCTCCAAGATAGTTTCCTCATGGACCATAGCCAACCAAGTAGTGAGGAGCTCCCGCTACTGGATCCATCAGTGGATGGTGTCATGAACGCAGTGCAGAAGCCGCGTGGTATGTCAAATGTCTCCAGTGCTGCCGATATGTACGAGATTTTGTAGTTGCATTGCTCGTGCTGTGCTTTAGATGCAAGTACGTGCTTAAGAATAACGATCTCTTGTGTTGTTGTGGGGGTTTTCTGCAGGCGAACGCATCCCCGGGACGTCATTGTGCGGACTGTAGCTGTATGAGAGCGATCGGCATTGTCACAACTCGTGCATAGAATAACTTCACACATAACCAGCAACCTTTACCTAAATTCCTCGACACGTTTACGAGGTGTTTATACTAATAGGAATTGCCATGAAGCAATGACAGATACCTTCAGCTCAAAAGTGAATGGTAATCTCACGCTGATTTGAAGATACGGACCGTTTTTAATGGGTTTAGTATCCCTTCGTGATGATGTCTCTGTCGTCAGAAGAGACCCAATCACGTGGCAGCTCGAATGAGCAGACCGACCACAAAGTTACATTGTTACCACGACGGTCAATAACGCAGAACGCTGTCAAGCACAACACACTCAGCTTCAGTGAGTACTGGCAATTCTCCATCATCCTCGATCTCAAGCGCAAGCTCAGGCTCGATCTTGATTGTTTTCGTTTCCGCCGGGATCAATTCAAATTCTCTAACATGCATAGCGCCGAGACTAGCACAAATACCGCAGCCAGACACTACAATGTCTAAGAACTCACATCGTGTCTTGTAATACTTGAGTTGTTCTTGTAGAGATCGCACATCCTGCTGCGACCGCTGACGCAGTCGAGTGGCTGCAATGCGATTCTTTAGTCGCTTCACCTCTTTGCCACTTAATTCTGCAGCTGCAAGACCAAACGGGAGCTCAATAGCTTCACGTTTCCGATGCTTAGGTCGCGTTTCTTTTATTGACGGAGATATCGTTGGAGCAATAGACGGCAATGATGCAATTCTTACCGAACGTTTTGCCTTCTCTAAGGTCGTATCTTTGCTCGTAAGGATCGTAGCGAAGACAGGCATTTGTTCGCGTGGCTTGGGAGCGATGGGTTTTAATGCAGTGCTGGCTCTGGTTGAGCTGCGCGTCATCATGGGCTCCTGTTTGGTGACGCAATGACGCAGTTTCCTCGGCATCTGGTGGTCGGTAAATGAGAATATGGTGACAGGTTGTTGAAGTTTGAAGGAATGATGGTCGTGATGCCCTGGCGACGCTTGAGGACCAAAGTCTGGCTCTTTTCTCGCTACTTGGTCTGATTACGTGTACATTGTCAAAAGATGCTGAAATAAAATATTACAGTAAACCCCGTCAAAATGAATGAAGCGACAGTTCGAGGGAATCTGGGGTTATCCGTCCTGCTTTTTACACTGCAATTTTGTATCGAAGCATATCTACGTGATAGTTAGTAATGGTTCGTGGACGTGGAGGACGCAGCAGTAACGGCAACGGTGGGAGAAACCGTGCAACACCCTACGAGGGAGCACGTGAAGGTCGTAGCCGTCGTCGTGGAGGGGGTGGAGGTGGCGAATCCAAGGGACGAGCGAAGGGCGGCCGACACAGTCGTCGAGGTGGCGACAAGCCCAAGTCGAAAACTGCTGAGGAATTGGACGCTGAGATGGACAGTTATTGGGGAAAATCCGAGGAACATGCAGCCAAGAAACTGGACAGTGACATGGACAATTATTGGAAGAATAAGGATGAAAAGTGTAGGTGGACTCGGAAGTTGCGACATTTTTTCAAAAAAAAAAAGAGCGAGAGCTAAGAATTGTATTGTTTACAGCCAAGACAGACGAAGACAAGAAGGAGGACACTGTTGATGGGGACAAGAACGTGAACAAGGTGGTGAATAAGGAGATGGAGGACAAGAAGCAGGAAGAACTTGCTGCTCAAGAGATCGCACCCGTCACGGAGAAACCTGTTAAGGAATAGACAGGAGGAAGAAAGACAACGAGATATCTTACAAAGAAGACTTTTCTGTGTTGAAGTCAACACATGGCTGGGGTTGGAAGAGTGAGGTCTCATGTGATGACTGCCTAACGGTCTGTATAGAAGCAGAGAAAGCTGTAATGATGACGTTACGCGGCACAACGACATGTATGAAACTTTTCTTTCAAATGATGCTCGCTTTAGCATTACCTTCATTATATGGCTTTTTACCCAAAAATTTCCTGAAGCTTGCCAATGGCAGCTAAGACTAGCCACAAAATACCCACAATTACTGAGAGCATGGACGAGAAGATAGATATACGGAAAGCCAGCAGCTCCGAACGTTCACCAAGCCGACCTGTTGCTTCACCGTACCCAGCGGCAAAGCCACCCATCGCGAGAATAGATGTCAAACAAAAAGAACCCAAGTATGTGAACGACTTGATCGTATTATGCAGCCCCACTGCAGGCAATACACCGAGAATACCACCTGGTCCTGCAATTCCATGAATGATTCCTACTACCAACGCAGTGCACTAAGAAAACATGACACAACAGAAAGTTAAAACAATGTATTAGTCTACAAAAAAGATCATCAGCCAACACCAATACCTTTTGCGTCTGCGCGTTCTGAAAGTCGATCGTCGGTAGTTTCAAGCCGCAGCACATGGGTCCAGTGCCTCGTTTCGCTCCTTCCATCTCGGAATCCGTTTCATCGCTAGATTGATTACGATACGACAATAGTTCCTCCAGCGCCACTACACTCCCACATGGACTAGTATCTGTGTCTGCTTTACCTGAAGGTTGTTTTAGTGACATTTTCACATCAACGACAATTGCATCGTTCTCAACATCATCATCAATTGTCTTTACATTCTTCATATCCTCCAACCTTCTTGGCATCATCATGTCCTCATCACTAAAAGTCACTGAGATCTCGTCGTTCGATCTCGTCGCGTCTTCTTTCAGCAACGTCTGACTGGGTATTACAACCGAGTCCGTGTCCGTTTCCACTTTCGTCTCCATCTCTACTACGTCATTATCTTTACTTTCCTCCTGCACCCCATTAGTTTTCTTCGTATCCTTTTCATTTTTTCTTTTTCTTCGTGAACCTCCTCGTCTTTGACTCTGTCTAGATTTTTTCACACCTTCATGTACTCCATAGATCCCCAATGCAATCATAAAGACCCCCACAAGCACATCCGTAACAATATTCAAGACCGAAAAATCCAATTTTCCATCCAATGCAATAAAGATAATAGCCATTACAATCAATCCAATACTATGACCACAACCCCATCGTATTCCAAGTGCAAATGAACGCCACGAAGAACCGGCGGACAATGTCGCCAAGGCACTCAAATGGTCAGGACCTGTTAAAACGTGAATAAGACCAAATAGCATTCCTGTTACTATCAATTGAATAAGTGAAGCTTTTCCCAATGCATTTGTTGTCTCGGTAGAGTGCTCAGTAATTCCCATATACTATTACTAATGAGACGAGACACTGTTTTCACAGCTATTTAGAAAATGATTAATAATGACAGATGGAGGAAAATATACTAATGATATGATTGGATGAAAAGAGACAAGGAAAAAAAGCGTCTTTTTCTAGTGAGTAGTATTAGCTAGAGTCAGTAGTAGTAGTAGTAGTAGTAGTATTAGCTGAAGCAACATATTACTTTGAGACAGCATTACTACACATAATCACTTCTATATTTTATATAAAATTTGCGATGACAGGCAAATATAGTGTTACTTAATATTAGATTTTGAGCTGAAAGCAGACGAGGCGAAGACAAGTCGAAACCAAATCACAAAAAATACTGTGCGTACAACAAATTTGTTGTACGCACGTTCAATCAAATATTGAACGCAAGTGCAAAACCTTTGCAGCTGTTTGCTGAATAAGGCGTACGAATAAACCAGTTGATGCCTCTCTATCTATCTATCACCTATTGTCTGCCAAATCACAGTCGGCATCTTCTCTCGAAATCGACTTGTCGGTGTCCGTTGGCACGTGTATTCTACATCAAAACAACAATCTTCCAGAGGTGGGTCATCTGTGTCCGTACCAAAAGCACTTTCATCACTAATGTTGCTCGCCATCCGCCTCCGGAAAATTTTACGTCGCATTTTCAGGACCTTGGGCGTAATTTCATACAGCTCAATGTCAATATCAAGTTGATGAATTGGTTGCATGCCATAGTAGTCTAGTCGAATCGGTGTCGTTATTCTCGAGGCATTGTCATTCGTCTGTAGCCACGCAGCCACACGTCTGGAGATAATGATCTGTCCACCAAAACCTACGTCGCCAATTTCACGACCGATATACTCCGAGGCCCCAATGTAAAGTGCTTTGCCTGTTACACGGTGCGTTTGCATGATTAAATTGCCTTCTTCGGACACATTAGTGTCGTGAATACCCATACGTACACGAATTCCACGAAATAAAAGTTGAGGCTTGAGGCCAAGCGCAACTTCAGTTTTGACGGATGGCACCAGTCCTTCAAGCTTTGATGGCCACCTCACCTGTAATAGCTCTAGCTGGACCTCCAAGCAATAGTTGACAGCATCCGGAATTCGATGGAAAGCTAACTGGAACGCATCTCCTGCTGTCGTAATTTCATATCCATTGTACTTTGGCAATAACGAGCGCAACAAGTCGTCGTGAAGGTCTTGTGCTGTGTCAAGGATGGGCTCCGGTGCCTTTTGTGCCCACAGTGCACTCGAACCTTCAATGTCCGTGTTCACAAATACTGGTTTGTCCGGTGGGGCTGTCGTCTCGTATATCGCGTACGAATCTAGTCTTCGATTCGCACGGAGATTGGCCCATTCTGGCGAGTTCCTCACTTGAGTCGAGATAATCGGTGATAACATCCTGATGCAGCACTGTTGACTTCCGCCCATTACAAGTGCTTGAGCTGCACCAAACAAATAGTACAGCATCGTTACAATACCAACCAAAAAGTCCGGGATAGCATCCACCTGATCCTGTGGCATACACAGTAGTCCTACCTGCAAAAAGCAGTACGGCAGCGTGAAAATGGCACACACAATCATCAACAGCTTCAATCTTCGATACAGCGGTGATGCCATCACTACACCATGAATATGTTCATGTTTCCGACCCGAAAATCGCAAGACCACCAGAGCTCCTGTAGTGTAAAATATCGAGAACAGCAGGCCTCCCAACTCCATGAAACTGAAATACTTGTAAGTCCGATTGTATCCATGTTGCACAATGACAATTACTACTCGTGTTCCAACAAATAATCCAACAATGAGCCATCCTCGTGACACGTATTTCAAAATTGTTGCTTTTTCACTCTGTTCACCTCGATCCAATGTCCGCATCGCAAGTTTAAACAGTTCTCTTGATAGTAAAAAAATCCAATAGGCACTCAAGATAAAGAACAAATCCTCAACCAGTAAAAGCGCTTCCAATGCCGTAGTCAAGGGTACATCATTCTGCGTCAGTTTAGTAATGTATGCAGCTTCTCCACCGTCACTCTCATTGTCAATATGAAGCAATTGTCCTAAGATAATTTCAGATTGAGTCAAATGAGACTTGGACTTTGTATCGTGAATATGAACGACGACTCCATTAATAGCATGAGCTAAGTAAGCGTAGAGTACACCCGTTGCAAATGCATGTAATGTACTGCAAAAGAGAAACATGGCAATCACAAAACGCACAGTCGAACGAAAGAGATCACCTCCTAATTGACGCATATGATAAGCAGCTAACATTGTCATACTACAAGAAAAGAAAAGAGCAAGACAATACGTGTACATCCAAGCCAAATTGACTGAAGCACTACGCACCCATATTGTCTCGGAAGTCACCATGGACAAGAAGACGGTATGGAAGTAAGTCGAGAGAATAAAAATACCAAAGTGGAGGATTGTGGACGCTAGTTATAACTATTAAAAGGAAAAAAGAGCCGTTCGCATGGACGCTCTGTAAGGTCGTACAGTATGATATAGTGTACAAGAGAGAGGACATATTGGCATGATTGCTGCAAAGAAAAGACGTACTTCGATAAGCTCCGACTTTTAGTTGAAAAGTAAAAAAGGCCAGGAATATGAGTATTTTGTCTTAAACGATAAAGCTAAAAAGTAGCAAAATAGCCTGTAATTGTGTTCGTAAAATTTAGTGTAATCATGGGCACAAGTGTTCGTCATCGAGGTTTTCCCCCGTTCGAGTGTCATCCCAGTCAAAATATCTCAGTAAATATCCGATACCATGCATGGACGTGTCAAGAGTGTGGAGCGCGAGAAGGAGCAACATAAGACGGATGAACAGCGTCAGGAGGAGCTTTCCAAGGTGCGAATGTACCACGAGGTCGCAGGAAAAGTGTTACTAATGAAGAAACAGGAGCTTTACGAGCCCAGTGCATTGCCACTGACCAGTCACCTCTTGCTACTAAATCCCGAGTTCCACATAATCTGGAGCTACCGTCGCCAGATAATCGAGGCGTTGGCTAAAAAATCCGAAAATTCGGTGACGGAAATGCAAAAAATGGCAAAAATAGAACTGAAACTTACCTTGGTAAGTTATTTATGAGGAAATTATTTTTTTGAAATTTAGATGAAGAATCAAAGGTAGTAATATTTTGTCACACTTTTGTTGTTAAGTAGGACGCGTTACAACGGAACCCCAAATCCTATTCAACTTGGTTCCAGCGGAAATGGATAATTGATCGTGGATTGGGAGATCTGAAGAAAGAGATTGGATTGTGTGACAAATTGCTGGATCTCGGTACATTATTGTAAATTGTTGTGACTTTTGTTGTTGTTGTTATTGTCAAAGTGACCGTTGTTGTTGTTCTTTCAACTTTAGATGAGCGGAACTTTCACTGTTGGACCTACCGTCGACATGTGTGCAAGATGGCTGGAGTATCAGATGAGGATCAGCTGGCATTTACGACGCAGAAGATTGAGCAGAATTTTTCAAACTACTCAGCGCTGCATTATCGCAGCATTACACTTCTAAAGCCATTAACGGCTGATGTACTGTTTGATGAAATTGGATTGGTGCAGCAAGCTGTATTCACGGAGCCAGATGACCAGAGTGCTTGGTTTTATTACCGCTGGCTCTTGACAGCTATGTTGGAACTAGTGGAGTCGTCTGCTGAGGATGCAGTTGGATTCATCAAGAGCCAAGTGCAGTGGCTGGAGGAATTAATGGAAATGGAGATGGAAGCAAAGTGGGTTATTATTACACTAGCGGATCTACATTCCCGCATAGGTTTGATTTCAGAGGTTCATGGCTGGCAAAAGTCAAAAAAGCAAAGTGTGGAGCTGTACGAACGTGCCATCACACTTGACCCCGATCATCGTCGATACTATGAGGACATGATGAAGAAAAATACGTGATACAAGGCGTAGATAATGCCAAATGTGCGTTATGACGAGTCCTTTTCTGCTTTTTTTGTTAAAAAAAAGCAGAAAAATTAACTTCAAAATTCTTCTCAAATATCCCGCAAAAAAATCCTTAGTGGCTTCAACCACAAAATAAAATCTGTTTTTTTTCATTGGTCAATTTCTTCAAAAAATCCAAAAATATCCATCCAAATCCGACAATATTTTCCAATTATCCAAATCTGCTTGAGACCGTATCAATGGAGCGGCTCTTGATGTCCGGCCGTCACTGGCGTCGATATGGACATCCATCTCGCTTCACCGGTATCTGCACATCCTTTCCATTGCTTATTGGATTACGTCATTATCTTCGTGCCAAGCCGTTGCCATCTCCGTCCCGGATGATTGTAGCCGATTTGCTGGAAATATCCAAACAATTTCGCAGTAAACAGACGAATTATATCCAGGAAGATGAACCATTAGATGAAGCTGTAAAATGTCTGGCACAGAATGAGAACTCAGCGACGCTCGTGGTGGTTGACAAGAAGCATCACGTCGTGGGGTTGATTACTAATCGCTTGGCATTGCAAAAGGTAGTACGGATGCGGTCAACGACTAGCAACAGGACGGACTGGAACGTAAAGGTAGACGCTATTTTATCTCGATTTTATCTGGATTTTATCGAGGTGTTATTAATGGATTGAGGTTTATTATGTTTTTCATTTGGCTGTTTGATGATATCAGGTATCAGAGGTAGCGATACCTGCAAGAAAAATGCTTTTTGTGTCGCCTGAAGACTCACTGGAAGATGTAAGTAAAAAAATAGTTTTTTATAGAAAAAAAATGTTTGGAAATTAACAATGTAATGGAGTTTTTGTTTAGTGTCGAGCAGTGATGGCGTTATCAAGTGTTGGGGAACTGCCAGTAATAAAAGGAAGCAAATTGATGGGCACAGTGTCATTAACAGATATTGCATCGCTAATTCATCGTCATGATGCTCAGCTGAATCCTGATCCTACAAGGTGATTAAGAAAGTTTGATCGACGCAAAAGTCGCATCTTGTTAAATTAACTTTTATGTTGTTGCTGTGGTGATACAGCGCCAAGTCGGACTACATCAACCTTATCCTGCCACGCAAGGGGTTACCTGCCAATACGTCTCTCGACAAGACTGTTGTTCACAGGTATTTGAATCGTTCGATCATTGATTTATGTGTTGCCATGACTGACAATTGTTTCTGCTGATAGCAAGAGCATCCACCCAAACAATTGGACGTACTATCTGCACTCATTCGCCAAGTCAATTCCACATCCACAGAAAAAAGATACAGGTGGAGAAGATGCTTTCTTTTTGGGGGTTGTGCCTCACGGAGAAGAAGAAGGCAATATAGCACCTCTTGCACCGGAAGATCGACCCATTGATCTTGTGTCAACGGTAACTCATGGCACACAGGGACCGGCGGATGTACTGGCAATGGGAATTGCGGATGGTGTAGGCTCGTGGTTCGAAAAAGGGATAAGTGCACGGCGGTATGCGGAAGAACTTATGGTTGCTGCACATCAGGCAGTACAAATGTCGTACGCGAAGGATCACGACATTGAGCCTTCAGAAATCCTGCACGCTGCTTGGTCCACAGTGCTTCAGAATGAAATCATTGGCAGCTCGACTGCTTGTGTGCTAGCGCTGGATCCTGAACAAGGAGAACTCCACAGCATTAATTTGGGAGACTCTGGGTTTCTGATTATTCGCGACAAAGCCTCGGATCTTGAGACTGCACGATTACGTGGTACGCTGGACGGCTCGCTTACGCGTAAGATTACAGACAGCGAACTGGATCTCACACCTGCAGGAAGACGAAAGGGAGCCCATGTTACATACCGCTCACCACAGCAGCTGCACTACTTCAATTGCCCCTTTCAATTGGGTTTCGCAAGTGCCGACCTCGTGAGTACTGTCGCAGAAGACTTGGCTCGCGGAACGCAGTCACATATGCGCGAGAAACCACTTTTCGAAACCCCAGAGAATGGAATGAGACTGCGGGTGCCTGTGCTTGAAGGAGATCTTATTATTCTTGCCACCGATGGACTTTTTGACAACGTCGACGAGGAAGATCTCCTTGAGATCGTGCGTACTGAACCCGATCTTGAGACCATGACGCGCAAGCTTGTACAGAAAGCTTATGACTTGTCTCTTGACCGTACACGCGACTCGCCCTTCGCTCGCCTTGCCAAGGAAAACGACTTGTTGTGGGGTGGTGGTATTCCTGACGACATCACCGTTATCGCATCGCGAGTCACGAAACACAAGACCAAAGAGGAGAAGATAGCTGAGCTGCTGCAGTAGAAGCCGAGGTCATCTATTAGGGAATATTAGTATTAACGAGTATGAAAAATAGTTAGAAAAGCAGCAACACGATGAAAATTACGCACGACGTCGTTTGTCTGTCTTGCAATAGTGAGTTAAGATTTAGGTGTAGCTGCTTGCATTGGGCAGTGAAGACCCCTCCTCATCGATCGACAACTCTAAAGCTGAGTCGCCTGTTGCCCCTACATTACCTAGTGATTCACCTTCCATAATCCCCTGCTCGCTGTGGTCACCTTTGTACCCATCGTTCGGATCTGTATCACAGCCAGTTTCGGCAGCAGAATGTGGTTGTGGCATCATACTTGAAGCTTCAATGTCTGCCTTTTCCCCTTCTTCCTCCTCTGAAATGACAACAACTTCATCATCGTTATCTTCAATTGAACCTGTCGATTGTTCCTCTTCATCGTCAGCATCTTCTTCCTCTTCTTCCTCATCTTCATAACCTCCAATTTCATCTTCATCTTCATAACCTCCAATTTCATCTTCTCCCTCTCCTTCGTCCTCGTTCTCGTCCTCCTCTTCCTCGTCATCATCCAATTCCAAAGGTGCTGCTGCTGATGATCCTCTCAAGTACAAATCCTTGACTCGAATTGCATCTCGCATTAACGACAAAATTGAATCTTGAGCACAGGCATCGACTAAAATGGCATCTCGTGCATCTTCATGTCCATAAAAAAGCTCTTCTCCATATTTTTCCATTGCTGTTAAACACAATTTACTGCGCGTCGAATCATCCAATTGCAATAACAAGTCTCGAGCTTCTTTCTGATTCTGAGCCCGTGCAACAGCTCGCATCGTCGCTTTTTCTTCTTCTTCTTCTTCACTAAATTGTTCTTCATAATCTTCAGCTTCTTCTTCTTCATCTTCATCTTCAACGTCTACAATATCAATTTCATTGTTTATCAACGTCGAAAAATCACTCTTCTCTTCTTCTTCTTCTTCTTCTTCTTCTTCTTCTTCTTCTTCTTTTTCTTCTTTTACAAGTGCGAATCCTTCTTCATCTTTTTCAGTAGCTACATAACGGTCTTTATCCCTAATATTATGACTACTACTTGCTAAAAGAAGGGCCTCGTCGTCCACATTTAAGTCATTTTCCCCATTTTCCAAGCTAAGAGCCAAATTTTCGTCCATTTCTTCCGTTTGCATCGGAAATTCTTCATTATCGTCCACATCTGGTAGCTCCTCGTCAATTAATTTACTTTTTTTGGGTACACGAGGCACTGAAACGTCATCTAACGTCGTTTTCGTGTCGTTTAAGTCTTCGATACTGTCTCCTTCAAACACTTCAGTAGCTGACCGTTTATTCGTCCCAGAGGACGAATTACAAGCGGAAAACACAACAGAAAGATTCTCAACTTCATGACCAACAGCTGGAACACCTTCAAAAACACTGGAAGGTTCTGTCATGGACGATACAAGGCGATAAAGAAGCGGGAAATATATTACCGTCGTCGGTTGCTTTTTTGGATCGAATGATGGAAAAATACCTTGGAAACCGTACTTAAGTACTTTTAATATCATCGGAAATAGAAGAGATGATACGGTAATACACTTCGTCAAGATGAGATATTTACATTAAAAATTCACTTTAGAGTTCAAATATTTCCACATGTACATCGTAGTGCACCTTTAATTCTCGAGAAAGTCTTGTGCTAGCATAATGAACCTCATCTACTAAAATCAAAGGTCCGCATACGAAAATCGCAATCCGATTCTTCCCACAGTTCTTGGCTTCTTCAGCCGTTTCGCGTAAAATAGCAATGATATCGGGTCTTGATCCACTATGTAGACAATTAGCAAGTTCTGGCATCTCTTGAGCTTCCTTGTCCAAGATATCTCGAAAGAGATATACCTCACTGACAAACGCATCAGTTGGTGAATTCATGTTCTTAGGGTGAGTGAGAATATGAGGAAAGTAGGACGCCACCTCATCCACTTGTAGGCAGCTATCACGCCGTGGTTCATCTCGAGCAAGCAAGCTTGAGATCATTTCCATATTAGTCACCGACCAAATGAACCTCACGTGGGGAATCACGCCGCGACTTTTATAGTAGCATTCGTGATGTAACCAATTGACAATGGAACGCATCGGTGTCATACCAATTCCACTAGAAAACAACACAATGTGTGAATAAACTGTCGGGGTCACTAGGTCAAGCGATAGTTTGCCGTATGGACCGTCGACGAGTAAATCAAACGTTGAAGGGCCATCGGCTCTCATTGCGCTTGCTTCACGCTTGAGAGCCGCGGATAATAGCTTAGTCGTCCAATCTCCCACTGCTTCAACGTAGAATGTGACCATTGCTTCGTGTGGTGAAGATGCAATAGTGAATGGATGCCACTGGAAGTGAGAGATTGAAGGAACACACAGAAACGCGTATTGGCCAGCGTCATACACGAAAGTCTCGCCGGTATCTTGACGAACTCGTGGGAATTGAATTCGGGTAATGTTTCCTGGTAAAGCACAAATGGAGAGATGATCTCGAGCTATGACGCCTTTGTTTAGCTTGCCAATTGGACCATGGGCATATACGTGCGATCGATAAAGGAGCCGATACACCATATCAATTGCCCAGGGAGTTACGCCAACAATTACTATTCCAGCGCCATGGAGAATCGCACACACTACAACTACGATGAAGAGGATCCAGTGCACTCTAACAAAGAATTGGTAAAACGAACGCCGAATAAAGCGAAGTGACAGCAAATACATCAATACCAGGCCACAAAGCGTACTCAAGCCGGTCACAACCTTGGGGTTATCTAGACTCTGTTCACTGTTGCGTAAACCTAGCACAAACGCATATCCATGTAGTGCCGCCAAAATAATCGTGACGAAAGCAGCACACTTGTGATAAAATAGAGCTCGCTCATAAGAAATACCTGTACTTGTAAGCAATACTGAGTTATTCCGAACGGCAAAACCAAATACAAGAGCCAACGCGATTGAAGGAGGTATGCCGGTACCTGTAACATTTCGAGAATCTACTTGAAGTGCGGAGTACGCAATAGATGCCACCGCAATCGGCAATGTGACCAACAAGTCGCCCACTCTGAGGATAGCCCACGTAAGTAGTGGCAATGAGACTGAGAAAATAGTCCGTGAAAGCTTCCATCGAAACACCATCCACGACCGTAAAAGTCTTTGCATAGGTCCTGGCGGATGAGGTCGATATGTGTAGAGGTCACTCCCTTCTGTAGCTGCTGTCGTATTTACACTATCTTCCAAGTTATGTGAGAGAGAGCCTCGATCATCGACATCCAGGATCGGCACTTCATGAGAGTTTTGAGCGAGTGAGCACCACGATAAAGTACTTTCTTCGAGGACGGGCATAAAGTTGCAATTTGCATGGGGTGTCACAAAGGCATCCACAACAGCGCAAGATTTTCGCTTAGAATCGTTCCGCATGCTTTTGATCCCGTGACTTCGTTTGTAGAATGCCCTCCATAAGCCACGCTCGAAAAGAACTCGAATGCGCCTAATGCTAGAACTCTCTTGGTGTGGTCAGAATAAGGTGTCGAGCATAACGGTCTCTTTAAAACGCCCTTTATGCTCACTTGCACACATTTGAATGGCGTTTCCTGGATTTATAACGTTTCAATAGTGTTGTGAACACTTACAAGTGTCTGTAGCATAGCATTAGAAGCTAGAAGTTCCCATTTCGAGAACGGAAAGATAATCTAGAAGCTGAATGAGTTTGCAGTGAAGACGAAATTGATAAGCACTACATCCGGCAAACACTTTTTAGAGTAGAGATATGACCAGGAGGCATCCACGATAACCGACACGAATGAATGAAAGAGATTTGGGAATTGGAGACCAGGTATTCAGTTGCTTTAATGGTTCGACTCTCTACTTAGATCAGCCGATGTATTCGGACAATGACATGATATTATTACGATGCATTAGTCCTGACACACGCACGGGGTCACAGAATCATGTCGGGGGTCTGGGCAACATTCACATTAAAGTCGGTTTCACATACCTACACTGAGGAACGCCTTTATCTAGATGCTGTAGGTTGGTTGTACAGTCGCATGGCAAAGAGAACGGGGTCACTAAACAGACATCAATTGTTGTTGGCATGCGACCTTATCGCAATCTCTATGGACTCCTATTTCGAAAGACACAAGAATGCTTCTTTATAAATGAGTTGTCGTTAGAAGATCTACAACATGAAGACGAAATTACTTTTGAAACATGTTACGTCTGTAACGGAACTACAGATAAAAAAACATCGTCAGTACTTAGCGTTAACAATGCTCTTTAGGAAGTCTTCCCATAAATGTACTCATATTCTTTGAGATACCTGGGAGAAGTTTTGTCTTGCAGAGAATTAGAATTATAAAAGATAGCCAAGAGGCTTCAAGAGTTTCTCTGGTATTTCGCTACGATTTCATACCACTTGTAGTCAATCCGACCTGAGTCTAAATAACTAAGCCTTCGGGAGGATGAAGCAGTTTGCGCGCCTTCGTCGAAGGACAATCAATATCGAGAGTATTCTCGCCACAGCAGACTTGCCGCATGGGGGACAACGCTTTCTCTTTTCACGCCGGGTTTAGAAAGCTTTGTTATCCGCTGTCTACAAAATAAGAGCTCTGATACTTTTTGAGCTGCAAAACCGTACCATCGATCTCTCTTGGTTGCTACTAGTCAGTGACCCCTGAGTCCTAACATCTCTATGAGCGTCAGACAGCTTGGCGATAAATAACGCTCTGGCAGGAACCACTTAATCGAATTGATGGAAAGAGATGTGCAAAATTCTTCTCTCTCAACTACATCGTTTGTGAAGGCTTTGCAGGAAACGGTGAAGGACGTCTACAGGGCATAAGGATAGGTCGATGCCCCCACCGCATATCGAATGTCGAAACAATTGGTTCGTGTTGTGCGTGTATGCAATCCCATAGACACCCCAAGTAATGCAAATTAGTGATCACCGCACGTCGCTTAGAAGTCAGCAACGACCAAAGATACTAAAGCTACTCCCAAAAACAATCCACCCCGGCGATAGGAGTTGTATCACTTGCAAGCACGAGTACCGGCCACACGACTGAATAGGGAGTTTGTACCGTTACTTGGTGTCGACAGCGCGGGTGGTTGAGAGGTCGTGGACACCAGATGAAGCTATTGTATCTCGGAGCGAAAATCGCTTGAAACCGGGCAAGCTAAATTGTGCAACCTCCGATAGCTGGGACGTCCCAACTCGATCCATCGCCTTCGATAACTCGCTTCTTGACGACATCGAAGAAGCTGTAGCAATTGTTTTTGTTCACCAACGCGAACGATGTGGGAAATGCAATTTATATGAAGCGATGCGCCACATGTTAAAAGCTGGCAACTTTTTTTGCGCAATGGAAACCTCAGTGCAGATCCAAGCACAGTGTTAGATGCTAGCACATCATAACGATACATCAACGTGCGAGAAGCTCGAGTGTACGACGTTACAGTCGATGGTTTGGGGACGTGTAATATAGCACCATGGGGTCAAGGTATGTGCGGCATGTAGCACAACAGTATGATTACCATTAGGCTATATTGTCCGCTATGTCAAGTCTACTTTTATCAAGTTTGCATGCGTAATGAGTCACGCATGATATGTCTTTCGTCGAGGTACCAGTGTAACCTGAATGAGGCGTTTGGAACCAGTGCACAGGACCCGCACCACCTTTGCTATTGGAAATCCATATGATGTGCTGGGTTGCTTACACTTTACATTGCTATTCGAGATACGAGTGAGCCTTGAACGAAGGATGATGTTGGCAATCTACGTAAAAAGCTCAAAGTAGTTGACGACGGATACATCGCTTACCAGTCATGCTTCCATCAATTGTAAGTTGCGTGCAATAAAATCACTAAGGCCTCGATGATTTGGAATTACACGACATACTTCTCATCATTGAGGTCTTAGTGGTTTGGATGCCTTGTATAACTCTTCAGCGATCCAAGCAGCTTGTAAACGTGTATTGCCTTCTCTTCACTTCAAATAACATTGACAATGTCATGCTTTCCCTATTTCACAGCAAAACGAAAAGTTGACGGAATCATATCGAGCACGGAACTCGTCCGTACGATGTCACACTTGTCGGTGTGGCTTGGCAGCAATAACATCATGAACGTATCTGTAAGTAAAAAGTGAATGTGCTACGACGACGTAGCAGCCGCTATTGACTCCAACTTGGCTTTCTTACAAACAAATAGTGCTCACAAAATATCGCGGGAATGCACTACATGATACCACACACTACTTGTCCGCTGGTGAGCAGCGAAAGCCGATCTGCAGGTAGACGGATGCTTATTCAGTCTGGTTGGTATACCCTACATTACAACCTTCTAGCACGGGAGACAAGAGCAGGGAGCTTATCGAGACCTTTTTTGGTCCAGATGTAGGAGAGAAAGGAGATGACAGTTGCTGCCGTAGACGCTTCGTATCGAACAAGGTTTTAAGTGGTCGCAAAACTAGCGCTAGAAGTTGAATGACTTGACAATAGAATAACCTTTTGTGTGTCGTATCATTTCATCTTACTTTCATGCTGTAGCATGACCGTTGTGACGAACAAAAATTCGTCGATTCGACTTCAACGATGGAAAAGCTACAAGGATCAGATTTTTTAATCTAATTCTAACTTACTATGGCAATGCGGTTGAGATATTGCAGTAAAGCATTGTTGTTTGGCTAGGGCGTTACGGGCAACTGAATGTTAGGTACCCCATTGATGTCAAAGAGACCAGTGAAAATCTCGTAACGTGCTCCTGAGATCTCTGTCGAGTCGAAGGCTCTGAAATAGTACGACTGATTCTTGCCATAGGACGACCAAGTGGTACGGTAGTCGTCAAAATACTGCTGCATGGTGTTCTTTGACGGGACATTATCATCAACTTTTTCTCCCATGTGGGGCCAATCTGTCTTGGTTAGACGGACCTTGTCGCCAAACTTCTTCACCATTTCTCCCCACTGACTTTCCAGCTTCTTTATCGGAGGTTCAGTACCGGGCGTGAAGAACGGGTATATGTTGCAACCCACAAGATCGGACGCCTTTGCTATCGCATCGGCAGTATAAACGTGTAGCCATTCGTTAACGCGCAGAATCGATCCAACCGGCACCTTGCCCTTAACGCATTTTTTCACTTCGTTGATGTACCCAATGATCTGATCAGCCGTGTACATGCCAATGTCACCGTTCTTGAGACTCTCACTGCCGACGTAAACAGCTTCGACGGTCTGAGGATATTGGGCTACGCCGTCGCAAACCGCTTGGATCTCGGAGTCTATAAACCAGGGTACCCCCATGCTTACGCCGACTGCGATGCGAAGATTGGCTGAAGCTGCCATGGCGATGGCACTGATGTCATTGAACTTCGCGGAATACGTGCGGATACTGGAGAAGTGCTGGGCAACAAGGCTCAGGTCTTCAGCAATAACTGTCGTGTTGACTTGGGAGTGACGCGCAGGATCGTAGAAGATACCGCTGGAGAGCTGCAATGGCTTGGCAATACCCACAGCAAGAGTGGAAGCAGCGACCAAGACTGCTAGATTCAGTGAAGAGACCATTGTGTTTGTGGTTTCTTGATTGATGCTGGTCACAACGAAGTTTTGGAAATGAGCTTTCGGGTGAAATTTGGGATGGCCAGCGAGTTTACGATAGATCCCAATCACGGATCCCTGTACCCCGATCGTGCGATGTGCTTTACGCACGAATGTGAGCTGGGGGATTTGTAAGATGTCGCACTTCATCTTACAAAGCTACAATTTTCTTCGGGTGCGCGAACATGTCGCACAAACGTATCATCGACACGAATATTCAAGGAGCTCGTCTAATGTTATGTCAACGTGCCAGAGCCAGAGCCGTTCACCGAAGGTGTACGTATAGCACTGGACTCGAACGAGGAACGGGCATTGCTATTAATGTAACGGGGTAACAAGACGGTTGTAACATCATACCGAAAGTACATCACGGCTAAAGTATCATATAAATATATCACCGTTTAAGTATTATATATGAGTCATATTATAAGTAATCAGTAATACCGTATACTATTGGTATCGGCTATATATGTGATACAGTAGTACTCAGTACAAGTTGTACTTAGTGTATGTTGTACTGTACAACATCCACTGATGATTGGATGCTTTCATATCCAAATTAACAATACTATAATTATTATAATTGTATTTATCTAGTGTAGAGTACTTAGAGTAGAACAATTTATAAAATCTTAATGCATAAATAAAATCAGTTTTCAATTTGAGTTGAAGGTCACAAGTCTCGATAAGACTTGTGTGGGGAAGTGCCAAGGAAATGGAGGCCCTTCGCAAATTATTATAATAACTGGCAGCAAGGTTCTCGGTCACTCTCTCGAATGAATGACAGGGAGTGACCAAGACCTCGAAGTGGCCCAGGGTTCCGAAT